AACATATAATAAAATCTACGCAAGGAAGGAATCTGTCTTAAGATTGTTGGAAAAATATATGCTTAATGTGACTTTTAAGATATAACAACCCTTATACTAATATGTCATAAGATAATTAACAATATGCTAATAAATCATTAATTAAATATGCAACTCTATATTTAATTAAATATGCAAAATAAAGCAATAAAATAATAATAATATGCAAGGAATGAACCTGGACCGAGGCTAGTATTGGATACTATGTCCTTAAGACAGATTCGCCCCGCTATGGTGCTAACGGACTCAGTGGCGTCTATCTCCCAGGATACAACGGTCTACATCCACCAGTAGCAGCACTACAAACTCGTGGATACGGCGAACCTCCTCCGTGTAATACTCTCTCTGACTCAAAAATGCATCTATATACTATATAAATGCTGAATTAGGTGTAATCCGAACCAAATGGTTCGGACCAATCTTAATATGGCTCGATGAAATTGGATTAGGGTCGAAATGGCTCGAACCACTTAACCTATGGTTTGAACCCTCTTGGGTTGGGTTCTAGTCTAGAGAGGGAGATAGAAGAAAATGAAAATGAATAACTTGCAAATGATCCAAAGGGGGGTATTTATAGAAATAGAAATGCCTTTTCGGATGGGGTGCGTCTTTTCATCATTGGACACAACCATTGCAATAGGTTGCAATGGTTCACATGGTGTCTATTCACCATTAGACACATCCATTCCAATAGGTTGCAATGGTTCACATGGTGTCTGTTCACCAATAGACACATCCATTCCAATAGGTTGCAATGGTTCACATGGTGTCTGTTCACCAATAGACACATCCATTCCAATAGGTTACAATGTGCCTTTTCGAGTGGGTGCAACTATGGGTTATGATGGTTCGGAAAAGGTGTAACCCTTTGGAAAAAACTAAAAGTGGTTTTTTAATTTAAAAGGTGTAACCCTTTAGAAAAAACTAAAATATGGTTTTTTAATTTAAAAGGTGTAACCTTTTAGAAAAACTAAAAAGTAGTTTTTTTAATTCAAAAAACCAACCACCCAAAAACCCTACTCATTTGTGAAACCCATTTAAATAAGCCCAGCCCAAAATTAGGCCCAATCCAAAATTCCAAAAAAAGAATAATCTGGACTTTACAATTAGGCCCAAGCCCAAGCCCAAATCCTAAACTCAGCTTATTTAAATTTCAATTTGTTTCAACATTTTTTCCATGTGGGACAAACACTTCCCACATTTTGCATACCCATTTAGGCTTATCAAAACACCACACTTTGGAGCTAATTTCTCATTCATCCGGAAATGGATTTCAGAAAGTAAATATACCACGTTCATCTCCTTGCGGAGAGAAACGCGTTTGTCTAGAGATCCGTAAAAAATTATTAGCGGAATTTATTTCAAATCTCATCCAAAGTTTATGTTTTTAATGCCCCCGTTTCCAACACAGCTGTCCTCTCCACCGTCGGCGGCCATCATCTGAAGCCAATCTCGCAGCCGTTCAGTCCCACCGGTCGCAATCAAACCCAATCACGGCCCATCACCAGAATCGCGACTTCTTTAGTCGCTGATTCAATGTTGTCCCGAACTAGCCATTTCCACCTGCCGAGCACACCGCTGTCAGTGTTCTGAGCACCGCCGCAAGCTCACCGCCAAGCTTTGCCTCATTCGCCGACCTCCCTGTTCTGAGCTCGCCGCCACCTCCTTCACAGCCGACACCATCAAAGCCGAGCTAGCCGTCGCGAGTTCACCATCACAACCCACTGCTCACCGCCCCAAGCTCTCCACGGCCGACCCAACAGCCAAGCAAACCCATCACAAAATTCCTATGAACCTTGACCCATTGACCCCGGCGAAAGTTCCGAATAGAAACTTCCCATTGAAAACGGAATTGGGTTATGTAGATGCTAGGAGGAGAGAGAAAATGGAGAAGAAAGAGAGAGTAAGGAAAAAGGAGAACAAATCGTTTTGTTTTTTTTTTTTGGTTTATGAAATAATCAATGACCATTCTCAAAACGACGTAGTTTTAAAAAAGGGTAAATTTGTCTTTTAATATTTCCGACCAAGTCACCTACCAGAATGTAACAAAACAATAGTTTAAGAGTTTTTTTTGTAATAAAATCATAATTCAGAGAGATTTTTTATAATTCAGGAGTTTTGTTGTAAAATTCCAATAATTTAAGAGGATTTTTTACATTTTACCCTTAAAAAATATTTGTTACTCGGTATTATTTAATTTTGGGGAGCTTACAAGTTTTTGTCACTATATGTAGAAAGTCATCAACGTGCTGTCCATTTCCGAAAGGCAGAAATTAGAAGGAAACACCTGTGAAAAGGATATATATATAATGCACCAACTTATATCAATATAATATTTGTATTTACAGAATCTACAACCATATACACTGTATGTTAAATTTTATACTGTCTATAAATATATAAGTTGCAACTAATTACACTTTAAGTCCTTTGTCTTTTTAAGAATCTCATTTTCTATTTCTTCTTATTAATATAAGAGTATTTTGGTCATTTTCCTAGTTCTTTAACAGGGAGATGATGGGTTGGAGTTTGGATCGGTAATCAATTATTGTTGTAGTGTCTTGGATTGGAGTTTCGATTCGTAATCAGTCCTGCTAACATATTTGTTTTAGATTATAATCATTGATTAGTGCATTAAAATATAGAACAAACGTGTTAAATTATGTTTTAGGTATATTTTCAACATTATTATTTGTAGTTGTAGCGTCATTATTTTGCATTTAACACATTTTTATTTATGTTGAAATATAAAATAAATGTGTTAAAAATATAAATACAAATGTATTGAAAAACGCTAAATAACCTTATATTTTTAACTTTTAAGAGAGATTATATATAATTTTTATGTAGTGAGAGAGTTTTTTGCACTTTTTTCTATTTTAAAAATAGGAAAATTATTGGGTAAATTACACTTACCTCTCCTGAAGTTTGAGCAAATCTCACATAGATGAAGCGTTTGAGATTTATTACTCTGACCTCCCTAAAAATTATAAAAAGTCAATTATACCCTTATATGTAATATATTTTTATAATACAAAACATATTATAAAATCTAAGAAATATCAATTTTCTATCTCATCCTCTTATTACTTTCTCAATTCTCTCCACCACCATTAGCCCCTCCTAAAAAAAATATTGTAAATAAATTGAAAAATAAGTGTAAAGGCAACTTGGTCATTTTATGAAATTACAAGTTTTGATGGAGATGGGAGGTTGTTGAGCATACACCCAAATCTCGAGGGAGGTTAAAGTAATAAATCTGAAACGCTCCACTTGTATGAGATTTGTCAAAATTTCAAAGGAGGTCAGTATAATTTATCCAAAATTTTTTAGAACGAAAAAAGTTATTATATAATCCTGGGACCAATTACCAATGGATATATGAACAATTATGTAAAAAATGTGTAAGTTTTATCTAACTTTTTTATTTTATTTTATTTTATTTATGTGTCCAATAATAATTAGTCCGAAGTAGAACTAGTGATCCTCAAGCTATAAAAAAATTTCTCCCCAAACAGTCCAAGTAGGGGTAAAATAAATGCTATGTCATGGTAACGTTGGGAAGGACATAAATTTGGTGGGTATAAAGAATACTGCAGAATTTGGCATAGAAACATTTTCTGAATATAATCAATTGGTCAAACTGAAGTAAAAAATGTTACCACCTAGAAGGAGATTTTTTTGTCCACACACATATTTCTTCTATTGGAAGAAATTAAGTTTCACGTGTGTGATGTCAACATGTAGGACACGAAGGAGCTTATCCACAAAGGACTGGTCATGTCTCTGTTATGATTTGATCTCTTATCAATCCCTTGCAATTGAGTTTATTTACAAAAAGTAGGAACATCCATTTTTGATCTGTTTTTGTTTCAATTTTGAGCTCTGATTCTGTGTGTGTGTGTGTGTGTATATATATATGTATCATTATATCCTTTCTTTGACTCTTCTCCTAGCTTGAGTGTGAGACTTGTAGCTCATTTGGAGCCTCATACAATCTTCATGCATAATGAATTCTCTTTGGGTACAAAGTCCTTGAAAACCCATCACTTTGCTTTATTGTTGTCGTTTCTTTCACATGGGAAGCCTCTTTACACACACACACACACACACACACACACACACGCATACATACATGGTATAAAGTCTTGGGAGTCAAAGTGCTTCATTTCCTGCATCGTTTGTGTGTCTATGTGGTGGGGAAGCCCCTTTCGCTTGTGTATTTCACACTCCTCCTATAGTCATATCCAATGAGAGGATACCCATGTGATATGCCGGACCCGCATTTTAACACGTTAAACAATCATTCTAATCTTTCTATAACGTTCATTTCAAATTGGACGAAACATAGGAGATGATTTTGTTACGTGCTAGAATAATCTAGTTACAGTGAAAGAAACATCACATTACATGCAATTGAGGTGGTGGGGAAGCCCCTTTCGTTTGTGTATTTCACTCCTCCTATAGTTATGTCCAATGAGAGGATACCCATGTGATACGCCGGACCCGAATTCTATCACGTGGAACAATCATTCTAGCCTTTTTGTAACGTGGAGATAATTTTGTTCCGTGCTAAAATAATCTAGCTACAATGAAAGCAACATCACATTACATGCAATTGAGAAGAATAACAAGTGAATAAAGGGTTCATAGGAGAGACGTCGGTTATCACAAGACATAAAAATATTCGAATTTAAATGATACATGTGATTCATATATAATTGCACATATACGAAGTTGGCAAACCATCTTAAGAGTCTAATGTGATTTGCCGATGGTGAATTCTTCCTTACCCAACAAAAAAAACAAAAAAAAATTAAATAAATAAAAAGGGGACCTACAACATGACTCCATAAAAAGTGCCTGTAGATATAAGTGCAAGAAAATCCAATCATGTGCTATAGGAACTTACAGCTCTGTAATTGCAAAAATGCTAATTTCTATATCGAAATTATGATAGATAAAAACTAAAACAACAGAGTCTGATCAAATTCAAGGACAAATAAAATACAGTAACACAACTTTCATGTGCATGATTGAGTACAAAATCCACTCTTTTGATCAAATTCAAGGACAAATCAGATATAGAAATCCAGCCTTCATGTCATCTGTGATTTATTTATCCATTACAATTAAAACAAGATAAAAAAAAAAAAAAAAAAACATTCAATAAAGAATACAAAGAATGGTATATCAGGATTTTGAAAGCTCCGAGACCCATCAGTGAATACTAAAACTTATTCTCAAGTCACGTAGCGGCATTCACAGGCAGGGATCTTATGGAGAAACTGCTGAATTAATTAATTGAGTGCTTCAATGATTTCGAGGAGTTCATTAGAGAGACCGGTGAAAACAACAGAGTCTGTTTCAATAGGTTTGAACTTGATAAGAGCTGCAGGAACCAAATCCTCCTCTTCAAGTGTTACGGCTCTCTCCCCCGCTGCAGGAAAATGTGGGATCACCCGCCGTTTGATAAGCACAGGATGTAACAGATCAAACTCCAAACAGGGTTCTTTCAGTGCTGAGCTTACAAACTGAAGTAAATAGATGGAAGTAAGTGAAAAATACTTGAAAGTAAATGCATCTGCATGCATAAATGTACATGAAACAGAAACTAAGCCGAAGTTCTATTAAAATAAGCTTAAATCATATTAGTAACTTATTGGTGGTCAACAGCTAGAAGATTTTGAAGTTGGTAACAAGTGGACTTGTACAAATTCAAGCAGGAATCCAGGCGTCAATCTCAGACAGTCAGCAACGATATTCAGACGTCCAAAAAAAGAAGGGGGGCGCGCGGGGAGGGGGAATTGTTGTTCAGCAAATGATTTGTACAGAAGTCTGAGGCGAAGTTGGTGAAAATATTTCTTTGACATAGTGGATTGTTTTGTTTGGACTAGGTCCCGTGGATTTTTCTCGCCGAGGTTTCCAATGTATAAAATCTGGTGTGTTCTTTCCTTTACTTGCTATTACTTTTTTTTTTTGGGTGATTGTTGGTATTTAATCATAAAATCTAAATGAGTCACTAGATGAAGACGGTAGACCTCTCCACCCTCCCACTAAGTTCTTTAGGTTAACGAGGAATCACTAAGTCAAACTATATTAACTGTCCATTTGTGGAAAAAAAACTATATAACTGTCCATTTGTGGAAAAAAAAACTATATTAACTGTCCACTTCTGCATAGTGCAACTGTCACCATAGTTTCATATGTAATGTGAGATATACCCAAACCTGTTACTAATTATGCTCAACATAAAAGCAACTACAGGTTGAACTATATTTAGTGCCATAAGAATAGATAAAACCTTTTACAAAAGCTCCTTTTATCATCTTAATTCTTACATGTTAGTAAACATTCCCATTACTATACAGCCTAGGTGACAGAAATTTCCGGAAATAAGTTAAAAGGCATAAATCACATGGGCACAATTAGACTAGAGAATTACTATGTTGATTTTGTCATCCAACACTTGCGATTCCTACCTTTACAATGTTTCTCTTCACTGGTCACCTATGAACACACAATGTATTTATTTTTTCTGGTAAGTAACACAACGTTATTCACACATGAAATAAAAAGAACTCTCCATACCCAAGTAATAACTGATAATATTTTTTTCAGTTATGTCAAACACAACAACCAGTTTAGACACCCAACACTACAAGTGTTGGTCTTGGGATGATGGAAGGAGTGAACTAGATACAGACTTGGCATTCTAATATCTTTGAACCCTTTGATCATGGCAAACTCCAAAACAATGATATACATTTGCAAGCTTATTTGACACGTGAAAAGATGATAGGGTATATAAAATATTTAAATTATGTAGAGTTCTATCTTCTCCAAGGAGCACAACACGAGTCTCAGTTAGAACACAAACCCTGCACCTCATTTTTTCCGTTGTGACAGGATATACCAAATTCAAGCTATGAGTTGGTGGTCAAATAATTTAGAGTTTTATTAAGTCAATTCTAAAATTATAACTGTATGTCTTTCTTTCTTATTTATTTATTTATATTAGATGTTCTTAGGATTTCAAGTATGGATTTGGAGCGTCTACTTATCAAAAATATGATTTTTTTGGGGGAGATTTTATTGTTTCTATGTTGGGCAGGGTTGGCTATAAAGTCTAGCTTTATGTTTTTAGGGTTTTGCAAGGCCTATACACAGGCTTCTTTGTGGAAACAAAGGAAGATCTAGAGATGGAAAATTATCATAATTATTCAACAGATCTTTTAGTGATATTTCATTATTTACCACAACGATCTCATCATTAGTATGATAAGTTGCATCGTCATGTTTTAAACCTGTTGAAGAGTAAATTACATAAACCATCAAGAGCTTCCAAAGTAGAAGGTCGAGGGTTTAAGTCTCCACATGGGAAAAGTGAGTGTATGAATTTCTTGCCAAGGTAAGGAAAAAAAAAAAGTGCATTGCATAACATGACATATATCACATGACAACCATATCATGTGATATATGGCAATTGAGCCAATTGATTATGGCACTGACTCAATACCCCTTTTAAAAATAAATAATAATAATAACAAAAATCATTTGCAACAATAATGACTTCCAATATTCTTTTGATACTTTTTATAATTAAAATCTCTCTCTGTGTCTCTCTTTTTCCCTTTTTTCTCCTTTCTTTATGCTTTGCTTCACGAGTTTGAAATCTTAGGGTTTTTCTTTTTCCTTGTTCACAAGAATTAAGATTCTACCTCTACAAAGCTTCCTTTTTTATTCTCTCTGTTTCCACATATTTTTGCTAGAGAAGACCTACGTTATCACCACTTATACATTCATATTCAAGTCAGCTTTTATTGGAGCGTCTGTAATATTAGCTACCTCAAATATACAATGTTTCATGCCAATTGAATATGTAGCAGCAAAATAATATTGTTGGAACAATGGATCACAAATCCAATATATCTCACATGCAGCATCCATTGCATTAGACCTACAGATATGTTGGTATCTCAAACCAGACAAGAACAAAACTTTCTTATGTGCTTGAATTACGAACATTATAATAATAATAATAATAATAATAAAAAGCAACTAAAGGACTAACCTCATAGAGCGCACTGGTCGGCTCCCATGGAGAAAAAAAACCTTGGAGCACCACACCATCAGGAAACTGTACCCGGATAACAGTTTTTGTGTACCTCTTCCTTGCAGCTTTTGCTTGCTTTTCTCTATATGACTTGGGAATCAAAAGCTGAGATTCTTCAATCTTTTTCTTCCTTGCATCTGCTTCTCTTTTCACCTCTTGAGGTGAGAGTTTATAAAAAGAATCTGGCAGCTCAATTTTGGCTGCAACGCTTTCAGGCACAGAAAAGAACACCCGGACCTAGTAAATCAAAAATCATCAGACGTAAATAATGATAGGCACAGACGGATATGATAAGATATAGATCTTAGATGGCATATGGGTCATACAAAGAAAGAACTATACTAATAACAGACAACTACTCCATTTAGTTGATCAAAGCCTCAATCCCACATATTCAAATCAAGGAGGAATTACTTGTGAGGATATTCGTTGCAAAGGCATGTATACGAAGACAAAGCAAAATAAATACTTAGTTCAACTTGATTGAATATCATAGTTATTTTAGGAAGTCAATTCAAAACAAAATAAATATATTTAGTTCAACTTAATTAAATATCATATTTCTTTTAGAAAGTCATTTACTTTTATTTTTTTCTATAATGAGTAATCTATTTCCTTTCATAAATTATTATTATTTTTTAATTCAATTATTAATTATAGTTCATTTAGATATATATTCTATCAAACCTGACTTAAGATTCAACCGGAATTATTGACCTGAATTAACTATCACTATCCTATAGTGGAATAATTTATTGTGTCAAAATGCAAGGACAGGTATGCATGCAAGCATGAGACACAAAGTCAATTATACAGCAAGACAATGACACTAACATGGCTTCATATTACTTAATCTTGGTTTGATGTTCGTGTCATACACCAAGACCCATGTGTATATTCCAGTCATGAGAACTTTCTCCCTTCGTCTCTCTCCTAGATGGACGACCATGTTACATAAAAGGCAAGAAATGAATACAGTTTATTTACTTCAAAACAAACAACCATGTTACTTGCATGTATACATGCCTATTAGATGTCCACAAGTACACACACACAAAATACCTATATGCATAAGTCATAAAGACACTTGCATATGTTGACCCAAAGGTTTTGACCTAAGGGCAATCTAGTAATTTTAATGATTACAAACCATTTATTCGTATTTAGGCACTAATATTTAGATCGAGTGTTGTGCTAGATTTGTCACATTTCCAAGATTAACCTCAATGAAGCAAATAAGATCAAAGTCACATTCCAAGCATTCTATTACACATGAACACATGGACATGGAAATGACAAGTTGCAAAAGTCAAAGCATGAAGCATTTAAAGTTGACTTGGTCCTCAAAGGCCAAGAATACAACTCAAAGATCAAGGAAGAAACCCTAAAGCTGAATGAACAATGCCAAAGCTTGAAGAAAGGGGTAGATAGGTTGGTGAGTGCTTAGGATTCATTTGTCAAAGTATTTATGAAATCTTTTTGAAGCTCATCTCTATAGGACCATGCATAAATCACTTGTATCTTTATCTTTGATCCTTAAACAACCTAGAAGTGGGTCATGAACATTATTCATATATTCACAATTGACTAAATGGAGTACAAGACCAAAGACAGCTTAAAAAGGGGTCTATATGCATATCTGAGGACTTTCAGCCGACTGAAATAGTCAACCAGCAGTATTGGACCAATATTAGACAGTATGCATGCTAAGTTCAAAAGTCATTTCAGCCGGCTGATACATATATCAGCCGACCGAAACCTGCTGGGTTTGAATTCCAACGGCTAGTTTAGCATTTAATACTTTCCTAACAACTTCCAACAACCATTTTATGCAGATTTCTCTATAGATATGGACTGTGCATTTATGGAGAACACACATGAGTTGAGAAACATTTATTAGCATTCATTTGAGTATTCAATACAATCTTTGATTCTCTCTCTCATTTCATACATAGACTTGAGCTTCAACTTGAATTCATATATACTCTAGTCTTGTGAGCTATTGATTTGTATATCAATCTTTGAGAGATATTCTTGTTCATCAAATTCTTCCTACTATTGCAAAGGGTTGGTTTGATCCAAAGGAAGCCTAAGAGAAGGTTTTTCTCTTAGCAAAGGAAGTTTGAAGCAAGTTAGCTTCTTATGAACGTTTGCCTTCCCACCCGAAAGGAGAAGCCATAGTGGATTTGGAAAAGTCTCAAGAGGGACCTTGAGCCGAAGAGTAGGAGTTTCGAACCTCGCTAAATCGGCATGTTATAGTTTGTAATTTATCTTCTCTTATCTCTTTTGAATTGTGCTTATATTGTTTATTGATCTTGCACAATTCAGTTTCAAACACATGGTGGTCACAATGGAGCAACCATACCATTGCACCAAGGCCCGCCATCTCTTTTTACAAAATATACGCAAAATAATGCAATGCTTAAAACAATGACTGATTGCCATTTTACCATTTTTTTGTAGATTTGCCAGCTTACACTATCTATGTTTGTCGTTTACACATCATTCTAATCAAGTAAATGGACACTAACTTTTGGCCTGAGTGGAATTCATTGAGAACTAAAAAATTATAATAAAAACTAAAGGCCGTTGAAAACTTGTCCATGTAATGTATTTAAGAAGATTTGGACTCTGGATTTCAGAGAGATGAGAGATAAACTCAAGACTTGTTATTATATATATATATATATATATATATATAGCTCTGTTACATGGACTCTTCAAAAGTAGTGAAGTACCCGTGTCGGACACATATCCCTCGGACATGGGTATGGGATATTTGTCCGACGCTTTTTGTTGTACATGTACTTAAAAAACATATCCAATCATTCAATTACATTATATTATTACTCTAAAATGAGTTAAAGGATAATATTGAACATTATATTAGATAAAAAAAAATTACTTTACTCTAGAAAATAAAATAAAATAATTAATAAAATGAATATTTAGCCGTGTCCGTGTGTCTTTCTCTTTGGAGATTTGACACATCCGACGTATGGATACATACTTGTGTCCGACACCCGTACCCGAGTCCATGTAACATAAATATAGATAGAGAGAGAGAGTGTGTGTTTAGAGAAAGAAATCACATGGTAAAGCGAAGGATCTCATGATAATGTAAAGAGTCCAAAGGGAAGGTGAGTTTATGTTTGATTAACTCCTTTTAGGGCGAGTCTTTCAGTCATTGGATCTCATTCTCTTTTTCACTGGATTCATATCATAACTATCTCTGTATGCATTTATGTTCACACTTTAATGGTTGAATTTCTATGGAAGTTCCAAAAAGCTTCGCTTTAACACTCTAATCGCGAGACTCTAAGTTTGTCCTTTTGATTTTCTACAGCTCACACTCAAATGTCTACAAAATTAATGGCTGTTAACCTTTCCATAACTGTCCACAGCTTCTGAAATGGCCATCACATATAAACAATTTTAATTTTTAATACAATTGAGAATGACAAAAAAAATCAACTTAAAAATCCAAATTCTGGGACAGTTTCCATCTCTCAAAGGATACACTAGATAGCAATGGTATCAAAGCACACAGAATCTCTGAACGGCCATATTCATCTTATAGCAAGGCTAGTATTAGGAGATATGTCTCTAATAATTCGGGACAATAACGGGTTCTTAACCTGCACCAGCCTTCTACTTCTCAAATAACTTATAGGGGCCAATTGTAAATATCTAAATATATAAATAATATTAAATATGTAAGGGTTAAGTGCAAAAAAACTCCCTATTATATATAAAATATGCAAGAAGCCCCCTGATATTCAATTAACCCCCTACATTATTAAAATTGTGCAAATAAGGACATTTCATCAATTTCCTATTTGAAATGTCCAATATACCCTTATACTGCAATCTGGGTCACTCCATTGCAATCTCTCTTTGGATTGAATTCAAGTACCACCATTGATACAACATCCTCCACCATCTTCAATATATATATATGCGTGTGCGAACGGGTGTGTGGGTGTATATATATATATATATATATATATATATATATATATGAAACACTATAACAAGCAAAACCCAGTGCCCAAATCTATCCCAACTTGGACTACTCTGTTCTGGGTTCTAATTCTCTAAAACAAGAATTAGATGAAGCTTCAAGGTAGAGACTTGCTGCAAATGAAAGGTTAACTCACTTAACACGGCATTGAAGGAATATATACAGCAACTAAATTATGTTCGTCAAGAACAAGAACAAAGAGTGCATGATGCTATTTGAAGACATCAAGAGAATGTGAAAAATCACTGAGAGTGCATCATGTCCGAAACCCTGGTTTTTTTTTTCTTTTCCAGAATATTCTTGGCTTCATGCTCCAATTCTGAAATTAAGGTAGAAGCCCACGATACAGATCCAATAGTCTTATCATCATTGCCCAATTCATAACCGGATGTCAGAGGGAGTTCAATTGAAATGGAACTGCACCTAACCAACTCCATAGATTGATGACCCTTTGAAAGCTCTCTAAGCTGAGCTTCCTGTGATAATTTGGAAGCTGTTTGAGCACATATGATTGAGTTCATTTTCTTTCTTTCCTAAAATTTCTTAGAGAATTTTGTTTTTCTTCTCCCACATCACAGTCACTGGATCAAGAAACTGATCTTCTTGCTAGGAATTTCAGGAGGGTTGTTTCTTGTAGTATCTCTAACAAGTCATGCGTCAAGTGGGTATGATTTGGATATAACCCGTACAGAACTAGTTCCAATATAAGTTGATTCTGTAAACAAAATCAAATGACAGATAGAACAACTGAAGAATCCTCTAATTGGAGAGGAGAGAGAGAGAATTACAGAGGGGGTTGAAGAGAGAGGAGAGAGAAATGGATTAAGAGGGAGAAAATAGTGTTTAGAAATGTATAGAGGGATATATATATATATATAAAGAGAGAGAGAGCGAGAGAGAGAAAAGGGTAATTTCGGGTTTTCAAAAAACATTTGGTCAAAATTGAGGATTAGGGGGTAATTTTCACCAAATGTTATAAAACAGGGATTTATATGCACAAAAGAAAAAATGGTGGTGGTAATTGCACACTTTGTATATGGCAGGGTGTTTTTTGCACTTTACCCAATATTTAATTAATACGTATTATATAGTCCCATATCTTTTCAAAATTCAAATGGGGAGATTTTACCCCACTCAATAAAATGCAAGCATCCATAAATGCACATACATACGCCCATACACGCATAATGAGTGCATTTTTGAATATTAGTAAAATATATTTGAAGCTTCAACCGCAAACTGGAAGAAGGATACGGAAGACAAGTATTTTTAACACTAATACATTTTACATGAAATAATTTTCAAATTTTTATAGGTCAAACAAACCCAATTTAGTGCTCTATACAGAGTGGGAAGAAAAATTATCTTGATGCCTGCAAAATGTCTACTCTAACTCAAACGCCAAGAGCACTAACCCTCAATGTGCAGTTTCTCGTTAGTTTCCCATTGTGTTTTAATATGCTATTGTAATCCAAAATGACACATTATAATTCTAGGATAAAAGCACATTTAGAAGCTTCAAAATAGAAAAAGTAGTAGCAACCCAAAAAGGAACATATAAAAGCATCTAAGCTGTCATATAACAATAACAGCATTAAAGAAATATGAGAGAAACCAAGAATAATCACAGATACTAATTCTTCAGCAGAAAAAAAAAGGTCCAAAACAGTATACCTGTCTATCAACCTTCTTCGGCTCAACCGGTTCATCTATCTTAGCAGGAGCTGTAGAAGGCAAATCTTCAATCTTTTGTGGTTCCAATAATGATATTGCCTTCTTAATTAAAGATATTCGCTCCTTCGAAGGAACTTCCATCACCGCCCACATCTCCCCACCTTCCTCCTGAAGGTCAAAGCCCACACACTCTAACAACTCAATGCCACCGGTAACATCACCTATAGCTTCTCTAATCTTCGGATTTCCAATCCGAATCTTCCGGAACTTTACATTTTCTGGTTCCCTAACTATATTCCGTAAAAGCTTGAGCACAATCTCGACTGATCCATCTGAAGGCGCCCCAGAAACATATGTACCAACACACGTCTCCAATTCACTTTGAGACTCAGCTCCATTTTCAATTCTGACCGATTCCAAAACTTCAGCCACATTATTTGCTTCGGAACTGTTAAGGCAAGTCTCAACATGAGCAGAGACTTCTTCTTCAGATACATATCCTCGACCACAAACAGGACATTCAAATACACTAAGTTCATACCCATTTTTATTTCTTTTACCAGTAGTGATCATCGAGTCAAATGGATCGAACCCATTTGCTGGTTTACAATTTGAGTCCGAATTACTCGGAGCAACAGACCTATTCGTCACCAGATGATCCGAATTCACTGGTTTCTGCGGCAAAGGTTTCAAATTCACCGAAGCAGCGGGCGGTTGACTTGGCCTCGGATCAACAGGGCGGCCGAGGATTGGATTGGGGGGTTCCGACGAAGACGAGCCCAAGACTCTACCTTGGCCTTTGAATCTACCGGAAGAAGAAGAAGAAGATGTGAACGGATTGTTGACTTTCTTCATGAACCCCTTCACCTTATCCTTCACGTCGTCCATTTCGAAACCAAATTTGAATCAAATGAACAATAATTGAAGAAGATATATCACAAATCAAATAAAGAATTGTTCTTCGGAGTTTTACTAGTTGAAGCAAAAGCTGAATCTATGGTAATTTCTAGGTATTGAGACTTTTCGACGAATGAATTGGGGTGTCTTCACCTCAACAGAACCAGATGGTGAAAGGGTATTCAAAGGTAGAGGGTTGAGAAATCTAGGTAAAACTAGGGTTTGCACGAAGTTTCTTGGATTTTCAGAAGAAAATTGTCAGCAATTACGGAGACTTTGAAGAAGAAACCTGAATGCAGATGGGATTGAACGCGGTTGCAGGGTCCAATAAGATCTTGCCACGATGTTTCAATTTTTTAAAATTTACGCTAATAATAATAACCACTTAGTATTAGAAATAATTTTAAAAAATTAAATATAAATAAGTGAGATTTAATGAAAAATAATAATTTATGTGTTTAATACCATTCATGGGAGGATTAAGGAAAAAAAATAAAATGATACTAGTAACTTTTACTTTTGGAATAACAATTAAACTTATAATTAATTATATTCAATTCAAGTGTAAACCCTCCATCTTATATTTTTTAAAATATAATTATATTAATAATTTTAGAAGTTTTAATAACTTCGGCCTTAAAAGACATGTTTAAACTTTTCATTTTTGAAATTGTGATGGTCGGGAATTTACCAGAACTCCAAAATTAACGTGCTTAACCTGGAGTAATACTAGGATGGATGATCGTTGGAAAGTCTTTGGTCTCGGAAAGGCAAAAAAGGACAATATTGTGTCTTGACTAGAGTAAGGTTAGTTATAAATGGTACCATTTTATGATTTTAAGCAGTTTCTTGTTTTGGTTTAATTTTATATGTAGTATTTGGTAGTTAGTTAATATAAGGTTAGGATTGGGGTGGAAGAAATTATATATAAAGCTTTGTAATTTCTAGATTAAATTAGTTTTAATTGAAGAGATTATTATTATATTTACAACAAATAAAATTTACTTTGCAATTCTTTACAATTTGTTTTTCTCTTGCATAGTTTTTTTTATTTCATTTCAATATTGTTACGAAGACTATTTAATTATATCCTCTTAGTAAGGCGGCATCATTAATATACTTTTTAGTTCAAGTGATATTTCTTCTTTGTCACATATAATTTAATTGTATCCTCTTTGTTGCATATAATTTTTTGAGATATACACACACACGTGCGCGTAGAGGTTAGAGTCATAGAGATGATATATTTTGTTGCTCTAAGAAAAGTTCGAACATCTCTTGTATCAAGAAGTGGATTACTGGATTACCTTTGCTTTTTCTTCAAGTCGCCACGCATATAATCTCCTTATATGTATGTACAAACACGCGCACATTACACATGGACCTTTCTTATACTTTATTCTTATGGAATTTTCAAGTCCACAATATGTTATTTTGATTTAAGCATATATATATGTTAAGCCCTCATAAAATCAGTATGATTATAGCCACATAATTAGCACATTTCTCTTTTCGGCATCTTTAAAGTTCTTTTAGTGGAGTGGTAGTTGTGATGATGTGAACGTACTAACGATAGACTACTAGTTAGGAACATTCATAATGATATAGGTGGTCGAAAGTTAGTTATGTCCGACTCTTTTATGTGAGTGAAGAATGACGTTATTTTTACTCACATAAATTTAGTTGAATGTGTCTGACTTTCAGACATTATATCCCGACTTTTATAAGAAAAGAGAGCCTTATTTTAGAATTCAGCATGGCGTCGAAAAGTTGGATAGCCTTACTCTTTTATGTGAGTGAAGAATGATTCATTCCTACTCACATAAATTCAGTTAGATGCGTCTGACTTTCGGACATTGTATTCTGTAGGTGTTTGTGTTAAAAAATATTCATTGAAATCTAAATCATGTAGTGTTTTTTCTGCTGGTTATTTGATTTTGTACTTGAAAATTGCTTGTACAATCAATCCTTATGCCTCAACTCCACAAACCTCCTTGATCCTGTTCGACACTGCAGCCATTGAGGGTCGGTTGTTAGGATATTCGAAAGTACAACAAATTGCAAGTTGTAACATCTGGACCATCTCCTCCTCGGTCTTCTTGTTCCTTGGCAGCTCCTTGTCGAACACATCGAAGATTGGCTTCTCCTGAAACAACAATCGCACCCACTTAGGCAGGTCGAACCCTTTCTTGTTGGAAATGGCACCCAAGGAGGCCTCACCGGTCAGCATTTCCAAAAGCAGGACACCAAAGCTATAAACATCAGCCTCCAGGGAAACTTTTTCAGTATTTGTAACCTCAGGCGCGTGATAGCCCGGAATGAGGTTGGATTTGGATCCAGGTGAAACCAGTTGAGCTATGCCAAAACCCGAGATTCGGGCACTGTAGGATCTGGTCAGGAGAACATTGGATGACCTTATGTTTCCATGGCAGACATTGGGGCCTTGTGAATGTAGATACTCGATGCCACGAGCAACTCCATAAGCAATCCTACTCCTAACTTTCCAACTGAGTCGAGTCTTGTCTGCACCTTTTCTCCCTATGGAGTGAGAAATAAAGGGACAACAATGAAAAAGCTAGACCAGCAAAATGGGATTGTAATTTTGTCTATCATTCTATTTTTTCGATTGAGCGACTATGGATAGACACTTCCTCGTATAATTGGTTGAAGGGTCGTCACTTTCTCTAAAACAAAGAAACATTGAAAACCCAACACACACAATGGTTCTCTGACGGATCACATGAGAAAATGTCTATCTAAGCATCTGTAGATAGCAAACCTCTATATAGTATTATATAATCCGTAAACTTGAAGTTGACAATAAACTCTCTTCTACTTATCTCATTTAATCGTCTAAAGATTATAATTAGAATTCTTTGTTGTTCACAAAAAGGAATTACTTTATAATTTATGAAATATGTGACTTAACACTTTCAACTAAACCAAAATCTACAATTCTTCTATTGATTTACAATCATAACATATGATAAGGTGATTGTCATATTCCATTTTTTTTTTGGTTATCTAACCCTAAATTCTCTATTTTCTATATATATATATAACTTCTTATTCTTCTCTCATACTTCAACATCCACATTGTCTATTCCTACTTTACCAACCAAAACCAGCTGACTATTCAGCTTGCTTTATTTAAAAGGAAAGACTTACAGCTGTACTATATTTGATGATTGGATGCAGAATTTTAAAATCCCCTTTCCATGTAGTGTTGTAGACATGTATCATTATATATTGTGGAATATGGAAAAATATTGTGTGTACCAACAATTGAATACTAATATTTCTATTGATAATAGAAAATAACTACTTAATTAATATATTTTTCATAAAATATGAAGAACAGAAGTGAATTAGTTATACAAAACCACGTGTAAAATCAGCTTAACCACAACAAAGTTTAGGCTTTATATAGTTGAAAGTAGGATATACAAAGCCAGGACAACTAGATTATTTTGCAGAATTTTTAAATAATAAATTATACTCTTGAATTTGGTAACTGAAGATATCCATTATCCAAGTAGATGTATCTATAAATAGGTATATGATCGGTTGCATGGAATTGGAGAAAAAATATGATAGCAAAAGAGGAGGAAGCAAAATCGAAAGGCTTACCATGGAGAAGAGCAGACAAGCTTCCCATAGGCATGTAATCACATAGAAGAAGCCTCTCATCAATATGGCAACAATAAGCTTTAAGAGAGAGCAAATTCTCATGAACCAATTCTCCTAACCTTCCAACCCTTTCTTTGAATTCCACCTCAGGAACATGACCTGCAGCCTTTAACCTGATCACAGCCACAACAACACCCTTTCCCTCCAAATCCGCCTTGTAGCAACTCCCAAAAGTACCCTTCCCCAAAAAGTCAGCTTGAGAAGTTATCAACTCTTCAAAATTAAATGGCCTAACACCCTTCCCAAAGAACACCAACCCATCATTCTTACTATTGTCAACTTCAGCACTCGTAGCCATTGTTGTACCTGCAACTTTTTCGAATTCAAAATTTTGGGATTTACAAACTATAACAAGTGATCTGATAACCGAGTTGATCCCAATACCGAAGATCACCAATTGGGCAAAAATCAAAAGCTAGAGAACATAACTACCTACCCAAAAAGAAAAGACTTACAAGTTACAAGGCAATTATTGATGGTTTTTCAGAATTCTTCTTCCCACTTCTCTCTCTTTGTGGTTCTTTTATTGTTACTATATATACTCCAAAAGTCAACGCACATGGATAAGGCTTAAGGGAGAGTGAAATGGTTGGAAATGACCTTTCTTCTTCCTTTCACATTCTCCCACTTCTTCCCTCAATTTTTTTTTTCTTCCTTTCAATGTCATTCTATGTCCTCTGTTGATTGTTTTTCTTTCCAAATTTAATTGACTGAATGTGTGTGTTCACATTTAAGATAGTACATTCACATTCAGCAACTCAAATAGTCAATCTCATGCTCAAACTTAAATTAATATTTCTTTGTTGGCTGGGTCTATTTGCATTCACACAATCCCTGTTGAACCCATATAAATGTTATACATGGTAAAGCTTTCGCACAAAATAGGCATACAAAGAAAACAAAAAGAGAAGTGTAGGTGCAAAAATTCAACTTTAAAAAGTCAAAAAATAAAAACAACACACTCAATGAAAATAATAAAAACAAATACAAAGCAAAGATTGAGGTTTCAATGTATGTCTTTATTGGAGGTTTATGCCTCTCTTTATACAATTTTTAGAGGTAGAATTGAGGTATGACTCGCATTGCTTCCCCTCACTATTCGTCCACGGTTAATGGTTTCGGTTTCCTTATGCAATTCTTTCATATGAAATTTCTTCCCTACAAGGCTTCTTCTATGATTCCCATTGCTTGCCCCCCATGATTCGTCCACGGTTAATGGTTTCCTTTTGCAATTCTTTCATATGAAATTTCTTTTGCAATTCTTTCATATGAAATTTCTTCCCTACAAGACGACTCCGATAAGAGTCGACTCTTTCTATATAAGAGACTTATTCTATATTTAAGACTCCTTTAATTGTGTGATTGATGGACCCAAGTCATAGATCCTTATTTATACTAGGCCATGGGCTGGGCCGGAGATGCATGTTTGACCTGCATATAACTGGATTGAGGGACAATAGATGAATCCTCTGGGCTTGCCAAGTTGGGCCTTCAAAAATGGGTGACCTAAGAGAAGTAGTGCAAAACCCATCTGCTGACGTGGTTAATTGTAATTGGTGGGGATATTTTTCCCACAGGAAAGAGCAAAAAAAAAAAAAAAAAAAAAAAAAGTGTAGAAAAGAGATTTATTTGAAATAGAAATAAGAATTTAGGCCTACCCAAAAAATAAGAAAAGAAAATATTAGGGTGAAGACACAACATTTTAATTGTGTCTGTGTGTGTGTGTGTGTGTGTGTGTGAGAGAGAGAGAGAGAGAGAGAGGTGTATAAAATGTCTTGTGAGAGTGTGAAGTATTTTAGATAAAGAAGGTAGGTAATTGTAGGTTGATTTATAGGTAAATATGGAATAAATTTTGCCAGAAAAAGTTTCCAAAACTCCAAGACAAAGTTCTTGTAATAGCAACTACTGTTGCCTATTTTTTTCCCCCCTAAATCCAATGGAGAGATTGCTATTAGATGAGATACAGTAAGCACTAATTTTTTACATTTGAAAACCACAAAACACAAATCCAAACCCCTTAAAAAATTGCAAATAGTGGATCTATATATACATAATAATAAAAAAAAAAAGGAACTCATACTAATTGCTTTAACGTTTAAAATTAACAAATTTAATTAATTTTCCCAAACAGAACCAATGATGCTCAATCGGATTTTACTTTTTATTTATAAACAAATGAAATATAATGATCTGTATTTGCTCATATAACAGTAAATTATTACACTCACCTCCTAAAAGCATTAACAAACATGAAAATGAGCCTCTGAACACTCACTATAACTGACCAATGCACTAAGATACTAATTCATCAAGGGTCACGAATACTTCTTCAATCCGAACTCACTGCAGTTCCTTCTCTTTCCCCTATCTTAATCCACGAATTTGCTTGATCCGTTGAGCCACCTCCTCCATGGGAGGGCGTCGATCAGGGTACCGATAGGTGCAGTTAATTGCAAGATGCAAGAGCTGAACCATTTGCTCGTCAATGTTCTGGTGGTCCGTTAGCAGCTCAGGATCAAACACATCAATAGTCCACTTCTGTTGAACCACTGACTGCACCCATCCAGGCAGGTCAAGTCCACTCATCCGAAGAGGCATGAGTTGGGGTCTTATCTGTAAGCATTTCCAAAAGCAGGACACCGAACATCAGCTTTCTGGGAAATTCTGCGCGAATCCGTTACTTCTGGTGCACAATAGCCATTCAGAATGATAGTGGAATTGGAGGAAACGAGTTGGTTTATGCAATACTCGGAAACACATGCGTCGTAGTAGTCAGTGAGGAGAATGTTGGATGACTTGATGTTGTTGGAGACGAGATATTAAAAACATCAACTTTGGATGAGATTTGGAATAGATTCTGCTAATAATTTTTTGCGAATCTATAAACGAGCGTATTTCTCTCCGTAAGGAGATGAACGTAGTATATTTACTTTCTCAATTCCGTTTCCGGCTGAATGAGAAATTAGCTTCAAAATGTGGTGTTTTGATAAACCTAAATGGGTATGCAAAATGTGGAAAGTGTTTGTCCCACATGGAACAAAATGTTGAAACTAATTGAAATTTAAATAAGCCAAATTTGGGCTTGAGCCTAATTGTAAAGTCCAATTATCCTTTTTACTAAATGGAATCTTTGATTGGGCCTTTAATTTTGGGCTGGGCTTATTTAAATGGGTGGTTAGTTTTTGAATTTAAATTAAAAGTTAGTTTTTTTCAAAAGGGTTGCGTCAATTTCTAAAGGGTAAAGTTAGTTTTTTTCAAAAGGGTTGTATCAATTTCTAAAGGGTTGCATTTGTTTTCCAAAGAGTTGCATCTGTTTTTAAAGGGTTATAACTCAAAATCAATAGACATAACTATTCATGTGAACCATTGCAACTTATTGGAATGGATGTGTTTATTGGTGAACAGACACCATGTGAACCATTGTAACATATTGGAGTGGATGTGTGTGGATGTGTTGGTGAACAGACACCATGTGAACCATTGCAACCAATTGGAGTAGATGTGTTAAGTGTGAAGAAACACATATAAATGATTGTATCCAATGATGAAGAAACACACCCAATCCGTAAAGATTTCTTACTTAAAAAACTACTTTTTAGTTTTTTCTAAGGGGTTACACCCAATCCGAAAAGACACATTAATTAAAAACTATTTTTTAGTTTTTTTCCAAAGGGTTGCACCCAATTCGAAAAGGCACCTTGTTGCCTATAAATACCCTCATTTGGATCATTTGCAAATCATTTTCATTTTTCAATTTATTCTATCTCACTCTCTAGACTTGAACCCAACCCAAGTGGGTTCAAACCATGGGTTAAGTGGTTCGAAACACTTAGACCTTAATCCAATTTCTTCGAGCCATATTAAGATTGGTCCGAATCATTTGGTTCGGATTGCACCCAATTCAGCATTTATATAGTATAAATGCATCTTTGAATCAGAGAGAGTATTACACGGAGGAGGTTCGCCGTATTCAAAAGTTTGTAGTGCTGCTACTGGTGGATGTAGACCGTTGTATCCTGGGAGATAGACGCCACTAAGTCCGTAAGCACCATAGCGGGGCAAATCTGTCTTAAGGACATAGTATCTAATACCAGCCTCGGTCTAGGCTCTTTATTTATTATTATTATTTTATTACTTTATTTTGCATATTTAATTAAATATAGAGTTGCATATTTAATTAATGATTTTTTAGCATATTGTTAATTATCTCATGATATATTAGTGTGAGGTTTGTTATATCTTAAATGTCACATGAAGCATATATTTATCAACAGATGTTACCATGAGAAACATTAGAGCTTAGTGAGTGCGGATACTTGATGCCACAAGCAGCCCCCAAAGCAACGCTACTCCTAACTTCCCATGTCAATGGTGCCCTGTCCACGCCTCTGTTCCCTAAAGAGACAAAGAGAAAGCTAAGTCACAATTTGTTTAGGTTATATATATAAACACACATAGAGGATAGAGCCATAGAGATGATATAGTTTGTTGCTCTAAGAAAAGTTTGAACATCTCTCTATCAAGAAGTGGATTACTGGATTACCTTTGCTTTTTCTTCAAGTCCCCACGCATATAATCTCCTTATATGTATGTACAAACACACACACACATTACACATAGACCTTTCTTATACTATATTCTTCTAGAATTTTCAGGTCCACGATATGTTATTTTGATTTCAGCATATATATATGTTAAGCCCTCAAAAAATCAGTGTGATTGAATGATTATAGCCACATAATTAGCACATTTTTCTTTTTGGCATCTTTAAAGTTCTCAGTGGAGTAGTAGTTGTGATGATATGACTACTAGTTAGGAGCATTCATAATAATATAGGCTACCGAAAGTTGGTTATGTCCGACTCTTTTATGTGAGTGAAGAATGACGTCATTCTTCACTCACATAAATTTAGTTAGATGTGTCTGACTTTCAGATACTGTATCCCGACTTTTGTAAGAAAGAGAGCCTTGTTTTAGAATTCAGCATGGCGTCGAAAAGTTCGATAGTCTTACTCTTTTATGAGAGTGAAGAATGATTCATTCCTACTCACATAAATTCAGTTGGATGCATTTGACTTTCGGACATTGTATTCCGACTTTTGTAAGAAAGAGGGCCTTGTTTTAAAATTCAGCATGTTATGTAGTAAATAGACTAGTCATACTGTTTATATCTATCTGTAGGTGTTTGTGTTAAAAAAATATTCATTGAAATTGAGATCATGTTGTGTTTTTTCTGCTAGCTATTTATTTTGTACTTGAAAATTGCTTGTACAATCAATCGTTATGTCTCAACTCCACAAACCTCCTTGATCCTGTTCGACACTGCAGCCATTGAGGGTCGCTTGTTAGGATATTCGAAAGTACAACAAATTGCAAGTTGTAACATCTGGACCATCTCCTCCTCGGTCTTCTTGTTCCTTGGCAGCTCATTGTCGAACACATCGAAGATTGGCTTCTCCTGAAACAACAATCGCACCCACTTAGGCAGGTCGAACCCTTTCTTGTTGGAAATGGCACCCGAGGAGGACTCACCGGTCAGCATTTCCAAAAGCAGGACACCAAAGCTATAAACATCAGCCTCCCGGGAAACCTTTTCAGTATTTGTAACCTCAGGCGCGTGATAGCCCGGAATGAGGTTGGATTTGGATCCAGGTGAAACCAGTTGGGCTATGCCAAAACCCGAGATTTGGGCACTGTAGGAACTGGTCAGGAGAACATTGGAAGACCTTATGTTTCCATGGCAGAAATTGGGGCCTCGTGAATGTAGATACTCGATGCCACGGGCAACTTCATAAGCAATTCTACTCCTAACTTTCCAACTGAGTAGAGTCTTGTCTGCACCTTTTCCCCCTGTGGAGTGAGAAATAAATGGACAACAATGAAAAAGCTAGGCAGCAAAAACGGGATTGTAATTTTGTCTATCGATCATTCTGTTTTCTAGGTTGAGCGACTGTCGATGGACACTTTTTCATATGATTTGGTTGAAGAGCATCACTTTCTCTCAAACAAAGAAACGTTGAAAATCTTGTATTCTGCGATCAATCATATGGGAGAGTATCTATCTAAGCGATTGCAAATAGCAAACCTCTATACAGTATTATATAATCAGTAAGCTTAAAGTTGATGAATTCTTCTGCTTGTTTCATTTATGTGTGTAAAGATTATTATTAAAATTCTTTATTATTCACAAAAAGGAATTACTTTATATTTTATTAAATATATGACTAACATTTACAACTTAACCAAAATCTACAGTTCTTCTATTAATTTACAATCATAACATATGATAAGGTGTGATTGTCATATTCCAATATATATATTTTTTGTTATCTAACTCTAAATTCTCTATTTTCTATATACATATGACTTCTTATTCTTCTCTCATACTTCAACATCCACATGGTCTATTCCAACTTTACCAACCAAAACCAGCTGACCATTCAGCTTGCTATATTTAAAAGGAAAGACTTACAGTTACAGCTGTACTGTATTGGATGATTGGACGCAGAATTTTAAAATTCCCTTTCTCCATGTAGAGTTATAGACATGTATCATTATATATTGCGGAATATGGAAAAATATTGTCTGTACCAACAATTGAATACTAATATCTCTATTGATAATAGAAAATAACTACTTAATTAATATATTTTTCATAAAATATGAAGAACAGAAGTGAATTATACAAAACCATGTGTAAAATCAGCTTAACCACAACAAAGTTTGGGCTTTATATGGTTGAAAATAGGATATACAAAACTATACGATCGGTTGCATGGAATTAGTGCATTGGAATTGAAATTGGAGAAAAAAACATATGATAACAAAACACGAGGAAGCAAAATCGAAAGGCTTACCATGGAGAAGAGCAGACAAGCTTCCCATAGGCATGTAATCACATAGAAGAAGCCTCTCAACAATATGCCAACAATAAGCTTTAAGAGGAAGCAAATTCTCATGAACCAACTCTCCTAACCTTTCAACCCTTTCTTTGAATTCCATCTCGGAAACATGACCTGCAGCCTCTAACCTGATCACAGCCACAACACCACCCTTTCCCTCCAAATCCACCTTGTAGCTACTCCCAAAGGTACCCTTCCCCAAAACCTCAGCTTCAGAATTAATCAACTCATCCAAATTAAATGGCCTAACACCCTTCCCAAAGAACACCAACCCATCATTCTTACTATTATCAGCTTCAGCACTCATAGCCATTGTTGTACCTGCAACTTTTTCGAATTCAAAATTTTGGGATTTACAAACTATAACAAGTGATCTGATAACCGAGTTGATCCCGAAACCCAAGATCACCAATTGGGCAAAAATCAAAAGCTAGAGAACATAACTAACTATCCCCAAAAGAAAAAGACTTCGAAGTTACAAGGCAATCCTTGATGGTTTTGCAGAATTCTTCTTCTTCCCACTTCTCTCTCTCTGTTGTTCTTTTTTGTTACTATATATACTCCAAAAGTCAACGCACATGGATAAGGCTCAAGGGAGAGTGAAATGGTTGGAAATGACCTTTCTTCTTCCTTTCACATTCTCCCACTTCTTCCCTCATTTTTTTTTCAATGTCATTCTATGTCCTCTGTTGATTGCTTTTCTTTCCAAATTTAATTGACTGAATATGTGTGTTCACATTTAAGATAGTACATTCACATTCAGCAACTGAAATAGTCAATCTCAAGCCCAAACTTAAATTAATATTTCATTGTTGGCTGGGTCTATTTGCATTCACACAATCCCTGTTGAACCCATAATTGATATGTACATGGTAAAAGCTTTCAGACAATTAGGATTTGAAAAATAGCGAGCATGGCTATACGAATAGGCATACAAAGAAAACAAAAAGAGAAATGTAGGTGCAAAAATTCAACTTTAAAAAGTCAAAAAATAAACACAACACACTCAATGAAAATAATAAAAACAAATACAACGCAAAGATTGAGGTTTCAATGTATGTCTTTATTGGAGGTTTATGCCTCTATTTATACAATTTTTAGTGGTAGAATTGAGGTATGACTCGCATTGCTTCCCCCCTCCCCCCACGATTCGTCCACGGTTAATGGTTTCCTTATGCAATTCTTTCATATGAAATTTCTTCCCTACAAGGCTTCTTCTATGACTCGCATTGCTTGCCCCCCATGATTCGTCCCCCGTTAATGGTTTCTTTTTGCATACATGATCCCCTTTAACGAAGCGAATAGTCGCTTGCCATCGAGAGAGAGCAAACTGACTGTGGTGCGTGTCGCGCCAATGGATAGGATAACGAGTTTCCAGGGGCCAATTCTATTAAAGAAAGAAGCAAGCTTAGCTTGACACAACCACCGCTAGCTGACAACATTGATAGAGGAAGAGAATGAAGTAGAGGAGAGCTAGTATACGTGCTCAACACAAGAAGTGCACACCTATAGGTTTACCTGATTCATGGTTTGACCTTACCGTTACTTGGGGAGGTATAATGACTCGTACATGAAAGAAAAGAAAGCAGTCTTTCGGGTTAGCCTTGAGATATCTTCGATTCAATTAGGCTCGAGAGATGGAGCTTCTTTCATATGAAATTTCTTCCCTACAACTCCTTCTATAAGACTTCTTCTATAGATAGGACTCTTTCTATATAAGACTTTTCTATATGTACTCCTTTAATTGTGTGATTGATGGACCAAGTCACAGATCCTTATTTGTACTAGGCCATGGACTGGGCCGGAGAAGTAGTGCAAAACTATCTGCTGACGTGGTTAATTGTAATTGGTGGGGATATTTTTCCCAGAGGAAAGAGCAAAAAAAAAAAAAAAGTGTAGAAAGGAGATTGATTTGAAATAGAAATAAGGATTTAGACTTGCCCAAAATAAAAAAAAATTAGGGTGTAGACACAATATTTTAATTGTGTGTGTGTGTGTGAGAGAGAGAGAGAGAGAGAGAAAATTAGGGTGTAGACACAATATTTTAATTGTGTGTGTGTGTGTGTGAGAGAGAGAGAGAGAGAGAGGTATATAAAATGTCTTGTGAGATTGTGAAGTATGTTAGATAAAGAAGGTAGGTAATTGTAGGTTGATTTATAGGTAAACATGGAATGAATTTTGCCAGAAAAAGTTTCCAAAACTTCAAGACAAAGTTCTTTTAATAGCAACTAGTGTTGCCCTTTTTTTTTCCCCCTAAATCCAATGTAGAGATTGCTATTAGAATACAGTAAGCACAATTTTTTACATTTGAAAACCACAAAACACAAATCCAAACCCCTTAAAAAATTGCAAATAATGGATCTATATATACATAATAATAATAAAAAAGGAACTCATACTAATTGCTTTAACGTTTAAAATTAACAAATTTAATTAATTTTCCCAATCAGAACCAATGATGCTCAATCGGATTTTACTTTTTATTTATAAACAAATGAAATATAATGATCTGTATTTGCTCATATAACAGTAAATTATTACACTCACCTCCTAAAAGCATTAACAAACATGAAAATGAGCCTCTGAACACTCACTATAACTAACCAATGCACTAAGATACTAATTCATCAAGGGTCACGAATACTTCTTCAATCCGAACTCACTGCAGTTCCTTCTCTTTCCCCTATCTTAATCCACGAATTTGCTTGATCCGTTGAGCCACTTCCTCCATGGGAGGGCGTCGATCAGGGTACCGATAGGTGCAGTTAATTGCAAGATGCAAGAGCTGAACCATTTGCTCCTCAATGTTCTGGTGGTCCCTTAGCAGCTCAGGATCTAACACATCAATAGTCCACTTCTGTTGGACCACTGACTGCACCCATCCAGGCAGGTCAAGTCCTTCCTCATCCGAGGAGGCATGAGTTGGGGTCTTACCTGTAAGCAGTTCCAAAAGCAGGACACCGAAGCTGTAAACATCAGCTTTCTGAGAAATTCTGCGCGAATCCGTTACTTCTGGTGCACAATAGCCATTCAGAATGACATTGGAATTGGAGGAAACGAGTTGGTTTATGCAGTACTCGGAAACACATGCGTCGTAGTAGTCAGTGAGGAGAATGTTGGATGATTTGATGTTACCATGAGAAACATTAGAGCCTAATGCGTGCAGATACTTGATGCCACAGGCAGCTCCCAAAGCAATGCTACTCCTAACTTCCCATGTCAATGGTGCCCTGTCTGCGCCTCTGTTCCCTACAGATTCAGAGAGAAAGCTAAGTCACAATTTGTTTAGGTTAAAAATCTGAATTCATTTGCTCAACATGTATATAAATAACCATCAAATAGTCCTATTCTTTAGCTTCTCATGTGTGAGCTAAATCAAAACTTAATGCTTCTGGTATGGAAAAAAGTTAGAACGTTGAACACTTGTTGACAGCAACATGAAGGTTTCAAATGTGCATAACCTCATTTGCCTTTGTGGCAAACTATGTATGTACTATGCATTTCATGGTAGTCTTCATCAAGTAAGAGTGAAAAAAAATTCTCTCAAAGATAATGTAATGCAAAGATGAATGACAGGTTAAAAGAAACCCCGAGGGATTAATTATAGGTTACAACTAAAAAAGGGCTGGCCCAATACATGAGATTTCTGTCATTGTGAGGTCTCTAGAGATTCAGATGTACGTAACCTTAACTCTACTTGGAGAGGCTGTTTCTGGTAGTTATAGGTATAGAACTATGGTTGCTAGAAATATAAATTGATGTAAATTCAAAGCAATAAGATTAAGGAGCATATTCATGACAATGCATCAATAACATAACAATTTAAATAACACTTGTTTCTTCATGTATGGAAGAGCAAAACAGAGTATAGCAGAGAGATGGTAAAAGCAGAGTATTGAAGAACAAAGACTCACCATGTAAAAGAGCAGCCAAACTTCCCATGGGCATGCAATCAAAGGCAAGAAGCTTTTCCTCCCTCCCATAATAATATGCTCTTAAAGGCACCAAATTCTCATGAGCCAACACACCAAGCTCCTCAACCTTCTCTTTGAATTCTATCTCATAAACACAAACTTTCTTCAATCTCTTCACAATCACCTGATTCCCACCCGCCAAATATGCTCTGTAAGTACTCCCAAATGTCCCCTTCCCCAACACCTCAGCAGAAGCCCTCAACAACTCCTCCAAACTGAAATTCCGATCCCCGTCCCCAAAAAACACCAACCCATCATTCCCACCACCGCCATTGTTATTTGCAGCTTCAGCCACCGCAGTCTCCGCCTCCGGCCTACTACTTAGCTCTCTCCTTACAACTGGTTTTGGCGACGGCAACGTTTTAACCCGCCGTTGAGTTTTTTTACCAATATATCTTCTCCACAAAATGAACAGAGCTACACAAATCAACAGTGAACCTGTCACCGACCCGACCACAATTCCGGCAATTGCTCCACCGGAAAGTTTGTTTCCATTACCAGGACAAGAGGTAAGTGGCGACCCACAAAGAGAATTATTCAAAAACGCAGAAGAATCAAATTTTCGTAGACTCGATGGAATTGAACCGTTCAATCTATTAAATGAAACGTTGAATTCTGTGACCTGTGGAAGCTCGGGTAGTGACCCAGTGAGTTGGTTGTTCTCTAAATACAGAGTTTTCAACCTGGTGAGGTTGTTGAACTCGGACGATATCTCGCCGGAAAACTTATTGCTGGCGATGTTGAAGCGAACAAGGTTATTCAAACCGAACAGGGTCGCCGGAATAGTGCCGGAGAATTGATTTTCCTGCAAGAAGAGACGACGTAGCTCGGCACACGAACCCAAATCGGAAGGGAGTGGTCCAGAGAGAGAGTTACGGCGGAGGCTGAGGATGCGGAGCTGGGTCAGGTTTCCGATGGATGCCTCGGGTATTTGTCCGACTAGTCCGTCGGCGGGGAGGCGGAGGCGGGTGACACGATCGTTGTCGCAGTACACGCCTGACCATGAACATGGGTTTGGATCGGATTGTTTCCACCGGAGGGTGTTGCCGCGGACGGCGGAGCTGAAGAGGAGGAGGGCTGCTCTGTCGGCGGCGCGGTCAGAGTCGCCGGCGGGAAAGAATAAGATCAAAACCGTGATGAAGAGTAGAGGAAAATTAGAACCCATTTGGACTGTTTTTTTTCCGCAAAACAATAGTGTTTTTGGTGTGAAAACTCTCTCCCTCAAGAGACTGTTTCGTTGAATGCGTGCTAGCGTCGTCGTCTCTTGTTTCATTCTATTTCGTTGACTCGACGGAAAAGAAAGTTTGACCCACGACTGGGTTTGAGTGCATATCTATATATATATATAGTACATATTAAATTTGATGTTATATGGTCTGATTTTGGTCTAAAGTTAGACGCGTGTTTTTTTTTTTTTTTTTTTAATAATTTTTTTCTTTTCTCTGTATTATTATATTTTATCAAGGGATGGGTTATTAATACAAATCACAAATAATTGTGTAAATTAATGGACTTACATGTTCTAAATGGTCAGAGCTTGAGATGGTATTGAGCCTTTGAAGTAACACTTTTGCGTAAAATAATAGTAAGATGAACTTGCATTCATGTCATTAAAACTAAACGAGTTCTTATTTTATTTCACTGTCACCGCTCATCATTCTAGAAAAGTTAACGGTAGAGTTATTTATGAATTTGAATTTTTAGATTTTTCTGGACATAGATAGTCGAAGTGACATTTCAAAATTTACGAGAGGTATAAATTTACTGGATTATTGTCACGTTTCGATTCTGCGCCAAATCTCTAGGCCCGTGACAACTATCAAAGTATTTGCTACCCGTATCATTTAAGATAGAGCAATGTTACAATTATTGACATTGTCACATTGTATAACACATAAAAAAAAGTACGTTAAAGTCCATCATTTCACACCACTTGTCTCTTTATAAGTGTCAAAATGACCTTAATTATATACGAAGTACTTTTAATTTTTGGGTTTTTTTTTTTTTTTTTAGGACCTATGTCACAAACTCGTCAATTACATATATTTTTCTTTAAGTGATATAATTACTCAGTCTCCCACATTGTTACGATTTCTTCAATATTTTTCCCAGTTGGACTTGGACCCAAATCATTGAGATTTAATCATTTAACTTGTTAGTTTACCAAGATTTGAACAATTCATTTCATTTCATTTCATTTATAGTCATATATACATTTCATTTATAATATACACTAAACGTATAACCTACCTATTTCGTATGTTTAACTAGATTCAAACTCAATTTGACAATTCAATATAAGGTTTTTTTTTTTTTTTTTTTTTTTACACAAATTCAATACAAGTTTACTCCCAACCATTTGATACGAAATCTCCAAAACCCCTCACATAAAAGGGGAAGATAATTAGAAATTTCAAGGATAAAGTGGCAAACCCTAGCTTTCTCTATCAATATATCAAAAGGTGTACACGGATTTATATACGACTTGACTTGATACATTTGGAATAATAACCAGAGCCACAAATTTGTTCCCTCTTTCTGGTCAATAAAGTTAGCGTATGAACAAGTCAATCTTTTCCTAGACTTGCATGATAAACGTAGGGTGGGTACATTGAAACATTCAACTGGTTTTGCAAGGAGAGAATATACATATACATACATATGTACATATATACGCGCAGATATACCTTATATGTACACAGTACACTATGAGTTCCATCTACTCAATGGATCATATCAGTAAAAAAATGTAATAATTGAAATAAAATGTCCAAAATTCCTAATTGAAATGTAATTGATCAAATCCAGTTATCATTAAACAACAAAGACATAAAAAGGCTTCAAAGATCATCTAGAATTAATCAAGATAGAGTGATAGACATCTCAACCACTAAACTGTATATTTTTCAAGATTGACCTAAAAGTAGAATATGAGCTTTAAACATTTCAAAACTGTCTCCATCAGTTCGGTTTCCCGCTGATATATATATATATATATATATACATATAATGATTGAAGGCTCCTATAAACCTAACCAGAAAATAAACATCCATAACATGAGCCTGAAACATTGCATAAGATAAGGGTGCAGATGACTATCTAATATCTATGCTGCTTGCCATGTGTTAAACTGTGTATTTTTCAAGATTTACATAAAGTAGAATATGAGCATCAGTTTGGTTTCCAGCTGATATCAATATATATATATATATATATATATATATATATATATGCTGCTTGCCATGTGCTAAAGGCAGCAAGGAATGGGGCATGAGTCCAAAGGTTTCCCATAAAGAGAGTGCGAGGATAAATAAGAAGCACGAAATCACCAACTAAAGAGCATGGGACATGGCAGAGAATGGGCAGGTGTTACACCATAACCTACTAACAACTGTCTGAGGCCTAACATTGCTCCATTTTGGTTTCCCATAAAGAGTACAGGACAATAAGAATAAAGCATGAAATCGCCCACCAGAAACCAAGAGAAGCTGTTCGAAAGGGCAAACCATATCGCAATAAAACTACCATCCAACTAAAAAACAAAGTGACGATCACACACAAAACAGATCAAATAACACCTCTTGCCTTCTATTCTTTATTCTTCTCAATTGACCGAAGGTCCATTTGACATTATTGTATACAAAGTGGCTGCTCTCATATTCGGGTTACGTCATTATGCTTGTGAACAGGCACCATGCAAAGACGAGTCACCTAAATTACAAAATAGGAAATATTGAAGTGTGTATCCAGATTTAGACAAATGTGGAAAGGATTAAAAAGGCTACCCAAAAGCCAAGATCATCAAGGGGGACAAGCCTCGTAACGGTTGATAATGCCTAGTTAGCTTTACTTTCTGTACTTCCAAAATGGTTCTATTCAAGACATCTAATAGCAAAGTAAACAAAGTGCAAAAACAAGCCTACTACAGATTCCAAAAAATACATATACAATTAAGACCCATAAAACTTCACAAAAGCCAAAAGATATGAAGGGCAAAAATCAGTTGAAGGAGAATGACACATGCTTACTCTACTGACAATCGAGTCTCAACCACAACAAATTTACCAGTGAACGCTCTACCAAAGTTTATAAGACTTTCTGGAAAGCACATACAAAATTACCTCTAAAACTCGATCCTCCAAAACATTGTTACTACTTCAAAACAAAACTTAATTTAAGGACACACCACCACTGGATAGTCTAGCATATAACACCTCCGTTTTGTTCACAAAGAATCTATAACTGTCCTAGAGGCCAACTTGACTAAAATCTCAATTGATAATATAATATTGTATCTGAGAGGTCTGAGAGACGATTAAGTAAGAGTTATCCCGCTATCCACTAACATAGAAATTTTAGTCACTCCACAAAACACATGATGCTAATCTTCTTGAATATAACAAAACCTATATACCCCCAAAAGCACTTACACACGTCCCACTACTACAATAAGTTTTTGACAAGATGTGACTTCATTATTTGTTTATAAGATCAAACACTCCAACTTTCTACCATCCAATGTTGTTTCTAAGTTTGAAATATATGGACCTCACAAAGACCATAAAGAGTATATATACAAACTAAACGAAAAATGGTCAAAAAAGAGATGACAAAAGCCTGTTGAATGAGGTTGGAAAACATCCACACGGGGAACAAACAAATCACAAACCTTGATCGTCAGTACGTCTCCCTAACAAGCTAAAAGCCCAAACTACTTGAAGACAGGGCTAGTAAGCTCATAAGCAAGGAGTATATATGCCTTACTAGTAAGTGTTTCATCCAACTCTCCCTTCTCAATTAAATCACACCTTGTTTCAATGAATTACGAATTGGGCAAAGGCTCACTAGCCATTCAAGCTGATGAATTAAATATTCCAAGCAAGCAATTCTTTAAGAATAATCTCGAATAAAATTTCCAATCAATCAAATTAATAAAGCACTACATTTTACATATATGTATGCAGGTGTATGCGCGCATATACAACAGAATTGTAATACTATTACCAACAGATATGAATTTTGTTTCATATGCAATAGACTCAAAAAGAAAATTTCTCAACATAACACCTATAACCCACAAATCAAACACATAGAGAGCTCAAAAACCCACTAAAAAGAAGAAAAGCTTGCATTGATCCAATTTGTCCATAACATCAACACATAACCCAAAAGATTACACATCTACAAGTTAAAATATCATAAATCATATAAAAAAAGACATATTAATGCGAAATTCACCTATCTCCAAACCCAATTGGCTCGAATCAATCAATGAATTAATCAATCCTGACTCTTCAACTTGTCAATGCGCTGATTCAACTGATCGACACGGACGACCAATTGGGTAACAGAGTAGAGAAGCCAATAGAAGATCAGGGCTGAAGCGATCAAGAGGGCATTGCGTTGGCTCTTCATGATGGACTTCTGGTGGCGGAGATGGTCTGTGGGGGTGCACGACTCGGGCGATTCGCAACTCGGGCGAGTCTCGTACTTCCAGTAAATGTCCATCAGCAGAAACAGGCAAAACGGGACCACCGAGAGGAAGGGCTTGAGGAGGTTCCGTGTGACGGAGACAAGACCCTTCTGTAGATGATGGAGGCCGGGGAGGGTGAGGAGGAGGACCATGATGGCCTCTGCGCCCGCGGCGTAGCCTAGAACTACCCACTCCAACGCCATTTCTGAGATTTGGAAAACCCTAGACGCGATGCGTTTGATCTTGTTTTTTCTTCAATGGGAGAGAGGGTGAGTGAGAGAACTGTTGGGAGAATCGCGGGGGATTTTTGATTTGTCCTGCAGAAAGGGAGAGAAAAGTACGCGGGTGACGATCAGAGGTTACAGGAATTGACAGCTGGCAGAATTAAAAAGCCATAATGGCACACGTGGCAGCCACGTCATTAGCGGTTAGATAGAATAGGTCCATTGTTGATTGTCTACTTCTATCTCTATTCGATCGAAGCAATTATCCTCCGTTGATGCCTTCTCTCACTCCATCTTCCATCTCTCTCGCTCAAATCAGGTGACCTGTTGAGCCAGTGGCTATATACTTCACGGCCGACTCTGAGAAACAGGACTGGAGGGTTCAAAAACCCTCGCGCCCAGTTTCTCCATTTAGCAAGACCCAAAGGCTAGGGTTTCATCTTGGGGCGATTTTTATGAAGAGGGTTTCTAGGGGCTTGGGTTGAACCTTTTTCGAGGTCGACCAAGTGGATTAAAGCTATTTTCTTAGAGGTTAGTTCTGAAAATTTCACCCCTTTTCATCTTTCGGTTCATTCGGATTGTGCCCAATTTTTGGGCAACTATGTTGTTTCTTTTCCACGAGTTGGTGTTTATTTATGTATATGAGTGATTTTTGTTAGGATTTTAGGCTTTGTTTGGATTGAGGGAATTGGAGAGATTTGGAGAGAAAAGAAAGGGAAGGATAGAGTTTAGTGTGTTTGGGTGGAGGGAATTGAGAAGAAAAGAAATGATTTGGAAGGATTTGGAGGGATAGGCTATCCCTCCAAATCCCTTCAGCACAGTAAAACCAAATCCTCTCAAAGTTGAGAAGATTTGAGAGGATTTGAGGGGAAAGGATGACAAAGACAGAATTAGCCTTCCAATTTCTATATACAATTTAGGGCAGCAGCTTCTCAATCCTCTTCTCTCGCACCTGCAAAGCGCCGCTCGTCTTCTCTTGATTCTCCAACAAAAACTCACCTGCTTTCTCTCATCAAGGTATTAACCTCTTCTCTTGCGTCTCCAACAAAAACTCACCTGCACTCTCATGGGATCATACATCGTGATCTGAAACCTGGTAATTCCTTCATTTCCAATGTTGGTACATTGAATTCATGCGGTATAAAAATGTTATGCATGAGAAATCGGATTCATGGAAATGTCTTATTCTCAAGCAAGCAAACTTGTATGAACATTCATGTTGAAAGATATCAGCTATGAATTTTTTTTTTTTTTTTAAAGAATTCAAACACGCTAGTTTGTAGCTTTGCATGATGGAATCTATGTAGTTACTGAATAATTGATATAATACCCAATTTATAAAATAGTACGAGGAAAAAGAGTCAAATGCTAGAAAAGGCCTTTGGATTCAATTTCGATATTTTGAAACTGGAAGATCCATCAGTTCACACTTCCGGATCATTGGAGAGTTTCTGAAGTACTTCATTGAAATCACTTCCAATCATTGTTTTTGCTCCCTGTTAAAAGTTCATAGATGCATTTTTATAGGTCTTTGCTGACTTGAGTCATGTTTATGAATCGTTTATATAAAGGCTCTAGAGAGATCAGAGTATGACCAAAGTATGAAATAAAGTAGCAAATGTATATTCATAGATTTGGTGATTTATTTCTATTAATAGTGCTTTCTTTGTATCCAATGTTTAGTAGTTATGCACCGATTCTTGGCATGAAAAGGTGAAAGTTTCAGAGACTTATGTGTGTATTTTGTTTTGTGGTAATGACTTCGTTCTAAAAATTCCGATATTATAGGAAGGACAGATTGGTTCTAGCAAATTGAACACTATTACAGGTACTTGGGAGCATATCGATCTGATGAACAAAATTAATATGGTCATATATCTACTGGAACTATTTTCTTTCTAGGTTGAGTCTAAGGGATTGCAAGTTCTAACTTGATCTATGAACAAATTTGTTGATGTTGTTACCATGAGGTGTAGGTAGTCGTCTCAATTACCAAAAAGAGAGTGTGGGATGTGCCGTTGAATATTCCTTTTACAATCTTTAAACATACATATGTTTATCTAAATAAATAAGTAAATGGAAACAATTGCTAATGAAGAACTTATAAACTACTGCAGAAAACTTAATCTTTACTGCAGACCAGAAAACAGTAAAACTTGTGGATTTTGGTTTAGCAAGAGAGGAGTCATTAACAGAAATGATGACTGCTGAAACAGGGACATATATCTATATATATATATATATATGCTATGCAAACATATCAAGTGATTTTGATGCTTCCAATTCAGTGTATTTGGCTCTGCTTTTTTATTCAACCAGTGAATTTCATTGTTGTAATGTAATAGAATTGTTTTTGTTTTGCAGCTGAAATAGGCCAGGACAGTTCTCTGCCTAACGGCATTGGTGACGCAATCTGTGAAACCCCACAGAACAAGCTTCTTCAAGTGGTGTTAGTTTCTCCTCAGGTATTACATTAACTCATAGTGACACTTATTATAGAGATTGAACTTCTTTAAGGCTAGATGTTTAAGTATGGGGTACTACCTGTTACAGATTTTATAATTGATTTGTTGGTTTTTTCCCGCTTCTCCATCTTTTTGTAGTATCTTGATACTTTGTCGTCATGATTCTCATCTCAATTCAAAATTTGAACAGTTACTGAATCCATTTATTTAATTGTTTCCCCATATTTTCATGTTATGCTCCAATAGGGGATGCAAAGGTACACAGTAGAAACATATACATACGCTAACTCGCTGCACAGAATTTAAGTTTTGATGCATCCCATACTTTGTTGATATTTATTGATTTAGTAATTTTTAGTTGCATCACATCAGATATGTGATACCAACTCCATTAACTACGGGTACATTTATCTCCAAATGCCTCTCTTTTTTCCCCAGCTCAATGTTGTCAACGTTGCAAAATCTGAAAGAATTTGGAACTATACATGTTGATGCCAGACAAGGGTTTAGTTTACAGCAAAATGTCTTTTACTGTAGCATCTGTCAGGAATCTATTTCTCACTGATTTTGCAAATCTGGCAGACTGGAGATTCTTCATTTAGTTAATTCTGCTTACAAAATTCCCTTGCTTCATTGGTGCTAAATGTTTGCCCTATCTCAAGTTACAGGCAAGAGTTCTGAGGCACTCTTGTAATAGAATTAACAAATCTGTTACCCCATATTGTGTCGTAGTGGATATATAAGGTTCTTCTACAAGAGGTCTGAGTTCTGAGGCACTCAGTGTCTGCATTTTTTGCATTTGGAAGCCAAATAAGCACTAAGATGTGTTGTTGTGTTCCATGTATATTGTGATCAACCACTCAGAGTCAGATACTTCTTTACTACATGAGCATCTATCTGTTAGGAAGTTTAAGGATAATAAATGTAGCATGTAAAAGGATATACAAAATATGTATTATGCTAATTGGGAAACAAGTCAAGTTGAGGGCCATCAATCAAGTATGGAGAGGTCTTTCCTTGTTAAATTGCAAATATGTGATTTCTAATAGCATCATATTCGATATTGATTTGTGGTTTATATGCAAGTACTCATGCCATACAGCCCATACCTCTGCTTATTGCATCCTGAATTTGTTAGTTAAAGGTTTAACTGGTGTTCATGGTTATATAAATATATACATATAGCCCAGGTCAAAAAAAGAAAAAAAATTACATATAGCAGGGTTGTCGTTTTCTGTTTTGGCACTTTTTGGCTAGGTCTTTTTGCTGTTTTTGAATCATGTAGACTTATATTGATGCTAAAACATGTTCTCCATTGTTTTTGAAAAGTTTATAAATGTGCATTTACATGTTTGGGTTTGCGGTTTATGGCTCAATTTTTTTTTCCTTGAGTTCATTTTGTTCTACATTGATTGTTTAAACATGATTTTTGTCAGTTTTAGTTGAGATTTTGGGATGTATACAACAGAGTGTGTGTGTGTATGAGATGTTTGCTCATGAGAGTCCCAGTTGTTGGGAAATTAGGCATGTTTGGTTTGTAACTCTTATAACAATTTTTTATATTACAGAAAATTGAACAAAAAATTCTGCTTGGTTCAGTTTTCTGAAAACTCAGTTATAAAAATGTTTGTTTTCAGAGAACCGTCTTTTCTGTTCTCTGAATTATTGAGAATTGTCTTTAGAGTTACAAACTAAGCAAACTCATAATTTCTACTACTTCCGTCCCAAAATAGTTGTCCACCTTGGGAATTGTGAGCTGTTCATTTGATTTGTGTGCATGGATAAGTTCACAATTTTCAAGGTGGACAACTATTTTGGCATGGAGGGAGTAGTTCATTTGATCTGTGTGCATGGATAAGTTGAATGGTGGTGATATGAAGAGGGCAAAAGATGGTGTTTCGGCAGTCTTTTGTTGTTCATGGCGGGGGTGACCACAAGGCAGTTCTGGTTGTGGAGGCCAAACATTTTTCTTTTGCTTGGGTTTGAGGCTTTATGTGCGTATAATGTGTGTTAAGGTGGTTGGGGATGAATTTAAGAAGCTTATCTATGTTATGTTGAAGTGATGGTTTGGTATTAGAATGAGTGAAGTTTGATGTGTGTGTGTGCGCGTGTTTTTGTAATAGTTTCCTAAGTTTTGCTAGTTATGTTTTTAGGATGGCTGAAAAGTGTCAAGGGTCCCAAAAATTAGTCTTAATAACAAAGGTATATATGAGAATGAAAATAATATATATATACACACACACACACACACACACACGCAAGGTGTGTAATGAAAGTTGGGCGCCCCACATGGATGCCTATTACGCACCTGATTAAGAGGACTCTCTGTAGTGCACCATTTTTTGAGCCTTTCCAAAGGTGTTTGAATTTACCCCTTTAGTAAAATACCTGAGGTATCAGGGAGGACCATAGGTAGATCCTTGACAGGATCACAATAGGATTTTGAATGGAGAAGCACAAGGTACTGACTTGACATGTTAGGAAAGTGCGAGGCTCATCACATAGTCCGAGGCCACTGGTTACCGGGGAACTTAAGAACTGGCTATGCGCCCCGGTATGGTAACTGTAACAAGGGGTCATTTGTCCCACATCAGATCCGGATGGAAAAGTGATTGGGTATAAATGGGTGGGTATGCAACACTACCCAACAGTTTGAGCTTTTGGATAAATGGACAAGCGTCCACCCGTTACAGTTGGTATCAGAGCCAGTCCTTAATCCGGTGTCACGCTAAGCACCCAGCCCGGAGGGCGTCCAGGCCTGCAGCCCAAGTAGGCAGTGTGGCCCAAGCCGCAATGAGGGCGTTGCGAGTTTGGGTGGGGGAAGAATGTATTAAGGGGTCATTTGTTCCATATCGGATCCGGATGGAAAAGTGATTGGGTAAAAATGGGTGGGTATGCAGAACTACTCAACAACTTGAGCTTTTGGGTAAATGGGTAAGCGCCCACCCGTTACAGTAACCATAGTGGCCAGGATGGTACCTAAAGGCATAAGAGAGACTAGGAATGTCAAATTTGCCTGCCTCATCGGTTCCCCGCCCCTAATGGGATGGGTATGGGATGTTAAAAAATAATAGGGGCGGGTATGGGTGTGCAAAAGTGAACCCAAATTGGGTTAGGGGCGGAGTTGGGGTTAGTAGAAAAAACCCCGCCCCGACTATATATGCAATTTACATTTAATAATCTTACATTTTCTATACTTTTACTACTCCCCAAGCATCCCACGCGTGTGTATATAAATATATATTATCTGTATTAAAGTTCTACTATTCCCCAAATATCTATATGTGTATACATATTATGTTCTTTAGGGATAAAACCTTATTCCCTTCCATCAATCTATTCTATGCCCTCTGGCCTCTTCCTCTCACTTTGTTCTACACTAGGTTTTTGTAAATTCTGGTCACTCTCCTCTCATTTTGGCTCTAGGGACTACCTTTGGAAGATTGAAAGAGACTACGAAAGAGGACCACGGTATCGCTGTCCCAATTTTTGAGTTTTCTCCACCATTGTTGTAGCATTTTTTTTTGCTTCAAGTGCATCTTTCTTCTTGAGCAATAATTTTACTGGTAATTTCTTCAAAGCAAAACTAAAAATCTTCTATAATTTTAGTTGGTTTTAACATCTTAGATGTCTATTTGTTGTGAGTTACTTGAATATCCAGTGCAGTGTCCTCTGTCTCTAAATATTTATTTTTATATATTTAACCAGTTAAGAACCCTAACACCCGTCCCCTCTCTCTACATATACACACATACATGCAAAAACACCACTTCCTAATATTGAAATTGATTCAAGTCAATTACTCTTGAATGGGTTGTTCCTTTGCAAGCGGGGCGGGACAGGGCGAGGACAGGTAGATCAAACATATATGGGTTCGGGGATGGGATAATACGCCATACGGGGCAGGGTGGGGCGGGAAATGGGCGCCCCGTTGACAACCGTAGGAGAGGCATGATTTATGACACGTTCATACCTTTCTACGCTAAGGCACTATCCAAGAGTTTGTTGGCTATTGTGCACAAAGTGTCATTCCTAAAGAGAGCTCTGAGTATGGTGCCTGACATGCCATGAGGAGAGTGGGAGGGAAAAGGGGTTGTCGAGGCATGGAAGATTGAACTAGGGGCTAGCGAGGGCGGAACGGAAGGGGGCCTTTGACTCACTACTCAGCTGAGGCGTTCGCGTCCTGGCCGGGGAATAATAGAGGAACACGTGGCACATAAATGTGCTGACGTGTGGTGTAGGTCCGTACCTTGACACATGCCAGGTATGTTATAAATAGCCAGTCCAGGTAATGTGACTTGGCAATCATTTTGAGGACTGCCTGAAGATTTTGCCACGCTCTCTGCTACCTCATTTATTCCGTTGCCTAAGTTCTCTCCCCTACCCTCTCTTCCTTTCTTTTTGCCTTTATCTATCTTATGTCAGCCTTGGAAATACCTGCTTCGAGAACCTACTCACAAAAAGAATAAGACATTTCTTTATTTTGTTTGTTGTTTCTATTGAATGGCTTCTTGCAGCTAGGACAATTGCTAAGTTCCAAAAATTAACCAACAAAAGTGTTCCCTTTTGTTCATGATCACGATTGTTACTTACTCTGTTTAATTAGAGAAAATCTCATATTTAGTTTAAGAAAGGATATATATTATAAAAATCGTTGGTTTCATTGTTTTGGTTTGCCTAAGGAGGGGTGGAAATAGGACAGTAAAGGGAAAAAATGGAAGAAAACAAATCTTCCTTCTTCATTTTTTGTTTTAACCTCAAAATTGAATTGAGTTTTTTGCTGCACCTTTCTTTACACGCGCGCGCGCACACACACACATATGTATACTGCTTTGCCTGATAACTCTTTCTCAAGTTGCTAAACATGTGAACTTGTATGTTAAAATAGATTAGCTAGAATATATATTTTCCAGTAAACATGCTCTAGTTCTTACCTCAATATTTGACTTTTAGTACTACTGTACTAGTAAGTTGGTATTCAGTTTCTATCTACGAACTTTTACCTATATCTTCTTTGCTTTGTCTTGATCCAGTTTTTCACATTGTTGCTTTCTCTCTGGTTCATTGCAAC